AAATTCAAAACAAACAATCACGCCATCTTTTTTTTTTTTTTGTCCGTACACAGTAATCCGGTTTTACAAAACCTTTTAACATAGATACACAAAATGTTTGTCAGTTAGACATTTTTAACGAAAGAATAAAATTTAATGAAACGTGCCACAAATCTTCAACATAAAAATACAACTTTTGATTCCTCCAATGACCTACCTTCAAACCCCAGCATTTGATTTTACAATTTATTGCTATTTGTAATTTGAGTTTTATAAGTTGTTTACGATACTGTCAAATTAGACTTTTTTCAGAAAAATGTAATTAATGTATTTGTAAAGTTTTTCTTTGGTGTACATATGCAATATCTACGTACATAATTTCAGGATTCCCCAATAAGAAAATACCGGTAGCTCCACAATAATTACATGTCATTTGCACTTTTAATGTGCTTGCCAGAATTATAATGACAATCAAAAAGTGTTTCAGCGTGACCTCTGGTGAAAAATTAAAAGAGCATTATATCCATTTTATGTACACATAATTTTTTCTTCTTTTACTTCTTATAATGTTAACAATCGGGTTTCGATAAACGAGGTGGGCAGAGAACAGATAGCCCATTGTGTAGCTTTGTACTTAATAACAAACAAATAAACATATTCTTTTACTGGTTTAGAAACAATTAAGTGTCCCAATAAGCTGCTGGCGGAGGGCGTCAGTAGAAGTATTTCAGTGCTAACTCTACTCTCAGAGAGCGTTAGTAGCGTTTCGGTGAAGCCAGAGAATTTCAACGAAAAATAATAGCATAGAAATCACATTAAAGATAAAACATGCTCATCCACACTCTTTACATTGAAAATTAACAGAATAGAATATCTGCATCAATTTAAAGACAGAATGATCAAAGGCAGAAGTCGAACTTAAAACTTTTATCTATAGATTTGTCTTTTCGTTCATTTATTTGTAAGTGTAACTGTGCTATGTGTGTTTTATTGTTTGTTCAACTATCTGTAAAAATGCATTCTATTTTGTTTTAATAGGATTTCGTTGTTTCTCTATAGCATTAAAAGATTTACCTCATTTTCAATATATCATTTAAATCAGGCTGAACTTGTGGGATGATTCTTTAGAGAACTAATTTTCCAAAACAAAAACCTATGTTTTGTTCTTTGTCTCTTGACAGACAAGAAGATTTAGAATGATAGTTTTTTCATTTGTTTGGATCTTTCACGCATCCCTACACAGTGACCTTTTCCATTAGTCTTCACTAATTTTAAACTGAGGAAAGACAGCTAGTCAACAGCAACCACCACCAAATTTTTAGAATTTGACCGTTGCTCTTATAACGCACCCACGGCCCCAAATTGTGGAGCGCGATTTCCTTTTCGGCAACAGATTCTTCGAATCCACAGTCAGGCACAGCAAAACTTAAGCCACGCTCGGCCTGCCCTACGATGAAAAAAGGGCAAGTATAAAGACAAAACCATATTTTGTTTAATTCTATATCTTTCAAAGCTTTAGCCTCTGGGCTTATTTTACGTAATACGCTGCCAGTAGTGAACCATAAAACTGACATTAATCTGACATTCGTCTTTCCTCTGTAACGTATGAACGCCCGCTCGAAAACCCGTTAATAATGAGAGATATATTTAAACACAATTTTGCCTCACTAGAGATAGATATAAAATGTATTTAATTATCACAAATGAGTAAAGTACGTAAAGTTATCGAATTATTAATATTACTCATCATCAGAATACTGCGGTCTTTACGTTTTTTTTAAATCACATGCTGACGTCAACCTAACGTCAACAAACATCCAGCCCCAAGCTGTCCGTATCCGTGTTTTGCCAGAAAGCTCTCTCATTGATCTACTTGACTTCCGTTCGTCGCTGTGGGAAAAGTTGTTCTAAAAGAGTAGTCTAATTAGTGCTTGATCGCCATTATGCATTTACAGGTGAGGTTATTAAATTTTTATATATTATTAATAATTTATAATTTCCTTTGTTCTGGGGTATTTGTAACAAACAAATACATTGATGTATTTAATTTGCTTTTCTTGTCTCCACAAGTTTGTTATTAATTTACTAGTTTCAATACTTGCAGTGGGCACAGCGCAGATAGCCCATTGTGTAACAAAAAGATACAATAGAAGCGATAATGTTTTAATAATTAGTAAGTAAATTTTCCTTGTGTTTAGGGAAGAAAAGTTAAGCAAAAAGCTACACATTGGACTATATGTGCCCACCACGGCTATCGAACCCCAGTTTCTAGCATTTTAAGTCTGCAGACATACCGCTATGCCAGTGGAGAGTAAGAAAAAAAAAGGAAAAATATAAATTACCCAAACTTAGTTTCATGCAAAAGTGGTAGAGCACAGTGTTCACCATATATAATATATATATATTAATTGAATACAATGAGTTTTTGTTACTAATGATATAAATATATCGAATCTCATTAAAAAAATACTATTATGTTTACCGTTATTTAGTACGGCTTCTTATACATTATTATTATTTTTTTCCAAGTGGATAAACTTTAAGTTAAACAAACAGTGGGAAATGTATGAAAGTAAAAATTGGACAAACATGTAATTTTTCTCATACTCGCTCATTCAGCCCTAGGAGCGCTATAACGTAACGTTCAATCCCACTTTTCGTTGTAGTCCAGTAGCCCAATAGTTGGCGGTAGATGGTGTGACTAGTTGCCTTCCCTCTAGAATATCAATTCTAAATTAGGGACGGCTAGGGCAAATGGCTCTTGAGTGGCTTTACGCGAAATTCAACAAACAAATACACAAATAAAGACTTAGCCATCTTCTCCCGTAATTAAGAGAAAAAAAAATTCTGTTGTTTTTGTACTATGAATAAGAGATGAAACTTCGGTTGGTTTTGAACATAATTAAAAGATAAGTCATCGGCTGTTTAGCTTATAAATAAGAAAATAAGCCTCAATGGTTTTTGGCAATAATAAAGAGACAAAGCTTTGAAAATATGCAGTGAAATTAAAAGGAAGCTTCGGCTGTTTACCTGAAATTTGAAACTCAAGGTAATGCATTCTAAGAATGACTTGTTGTTATAAGCTTTAAAGGACGGACGCTCTTGTATTCACCTAGAAAGGGAGTGGGGGTTGGGTGAGGCCGACACAACAGCTCCTGTATTTACAATTTGTACAAAGAAGCTAAACATTTTTAATAGGTGTTTCAATCCCAAAATTATCTACCACTTTTCAACTAGAGTACGAGAGCTCAAACATGCTTCGAAAAACCACAAACGTAAATATACTGTTGCCAGTTTAATAAAGTACATCGATAAAGTTCAATAAGAGAAACTTTTGCACTTATGATAAAGTTTTACACATATTACATCAAAATAATTTAAGTTGAAATTTAAACTGCATAATTTCTATATTGGCTCGATTATAGGACGATCTCGAATATAAGGCGACCCCCATTTTCAGAAACTATGGGATGTAAAAAATGAGTGTCATAACGTTCTTTTTTAGGCCTGCAAAAGTAATACTATAAATGATCAGCCTGCAGGTGGATTATTTGCAAGAATTAGCGATGACCTTGAGCGAATATCTGGCACGCATGCGTAGACGGATGCTATCTGGACATCCAGAAATATGACAGGCTAGAGTAGGGGGAAGGGTTCTGTGGTCGGCCGCGATTATAAGGCGACTATGTATTTTACACCTTAAGTATTATTTAATAAAACATCACCTTATAATAAGACCAATACGGTTCTTTTCCCCCTACTTTCTGAGTTGTTGACGTCGTATTATCATGAAATTTTGTGAATAATTCGTTACATGTGTTAGATTGTACCTATCGGTTTATTGCTATGAGCCACTATCATGTTTTACCACAAAACAAATAAACAATAACAAAAGCAAACGTGTATTTTAATGGGAATACAAGAGGACTGACAAGATCAGTGATCAAAAGCCAGTATTAGAGTCTGTGCTGAAACAGCGTCTCATTGAAACACAGAAAATTTATTTATTTTTAAACGCCACTTTCAGGTCAACTGGTCCTTTGTTTTAAATATTACTCGAATTTTTATTTTTTATTTTAAGGGATAATCATAATAACAAAGACATAAAGGTCGATAGGCAGATTTGTTTTATATTATTTATTATGATAAAAAACATTAAAAACTAATAAAACAAAAGACCAAGATAATTGAAATAATCAAGTGACCATTAAATGTAAACTTTATGATCTTAAAGGTACCCCCAGCTGAAATTAAATTCATTTTATGATTTATAGAACAGGTACCAAAAATAAAACAAAACCACCGTCACAAGCACACTTCTTAAATAGTCTACATTCACTTGTAATATCATCGTCACAGCACCGTATCGTTTTGTCTCATTATCTTGGAGTTCACATATATTTCTTGAACTTCGATCCCCATATTTAACCCTTCCTCAACTTGCATTGCTTAAATATTCCAATATGTCACAAAAAGCACCGCATGAAAAGTTTATGTGATATAAAAACGTGTTCGAACACTCAGAACTGTGAATTTAGCATCATGATATAATGAAAAATTCCGTTTTTTTTATTTTTATTTTACTCCTTTCGCTAGTAAATTTCTTTTACAATAAAAAAAATTAAAGTATTCAAACAGAACCATAATCTACATGAAATTTTCTTACAGTTAGAATGGGCAACTATATTAAAATTATTTTTATAATAATTTTATTTAGATAACGTCCGCCATTTGTACTTATTTGATGTACTTCAGTGATTGATTTACTACTAACTCTGATATTAACTTTTGGATGCTGATCTCTCCAGTCTTCTTTACATGAACCTAAATGCCTTACTTGAACTTAAACGCGTAGTTACTATAAATAACTACCACATTGATCAGCGTGCTAAAATTTACAGCATCGCTCAATAAACCTTGCGACGTTTATTATAAATTAGTTCTAAGTATAGAAGCCTATACAGTCACGTCGTTAACATAAAACTTGCTTTGGAGGGAAGATAAAAGTAGAGGGTGCATACAAAAAAGAAGACACACGAAAACGAAAGCCATCGAATCAGTCAGTAGAAAACTGCTCGAGAATACACGATGACGTCAACATGACGTAAGTTACAGGAACACATGCAACCTATTGGTTGATCAGATGGAGCAGGATTTCTATTTTTTACAAACAGTTAAGAGTTGAAACTGCGTAGTTTATATGAATACTATTCATATAAACTGGGCTATTTATGATGGAGAACACAGTGAAAAGACGAAAGATTACTGATATAAAATTACAGAAATAGATAAAAATCACAAATTTGAGAAATTAACAAAAAGAGAGTAGTGGTTATGTTAAATAACGTTTGCAAAGCGAAATGATAATAAACAAAAACGGTGACAAACATTATAACATAAAAAAATTATAGCTAGGTATCAGGTAATTGGAATGAGTAAAGACTCACAAATAGCCATTTTTCTCTCTAGGTTTGAAACTTACCGTATTACCCCCTAATCAACGCTTCCAGGAGCGTTGCAAAACTGCAAAGGGGAGCTAATTATAGTATTTGTGCAGTTCCGGATTATATTTTTGACATGTGGTTTGTTGATTTCAATGCTAATTAAGTGTGTGTGTGTGTTCTTATTCTTCTTAACCGCTATTTTATATAGCATTCGTAACGCATCTTGTATCCACAAATTTTCGTTAGTGCGTAGCATTTCTTTACTATCCACACTCCCAAAGATGTTAAAGTGTTTTGAAGTGACATTTGTGTCACAGTTCTGTAAACAGTGGCGAAGGATGTGCGACTGATTATATACTGTGTTTTGCGCATGCTCTTTAATACGTGAGCTCAGATAACGTATTGTAGAGCCCAAAGTTACACTTTGGACATATAAATTTATATATGACGTAAGAGCGATGCGTTATAGGAATCCTGTCTTTATTTTTAAAATAATTACTTAAAAGAAACATCGGTTTAAAGACAATTCTAAACTTAATATGTGGGTAAATTTTATTATTCAGAATTCATTCATCGAACACAAGGTTACTACACTGAGTCTATGCTAATGCATCAGTAGTAACAGAAGGTTATTTATGTTTTAAGATATTTAGTTTTAATATATATTACCTTTTCTTGTCTCCAGAGACAAACTGGCAACTCGGGAAACATATTGTATTTGCATTTATGACAAAGCTGCTAAGGCTGTCTACCACTTTCTGATGAGAGAGAAGGCAGTCAACCTGTAGCTTCCTACCATCCATTATTCACGCTAAAGGACTGATTGCCACTCTTATAACACGCCTACAGGTTAAAGTGGGGGGGGGGGGTATTTTGTGATATCGTACGGACTGGAAATCCAGACCTTCACCCGAGTGTCAACCCACTTCTCCCTCAGGAAACAATTGTAACTATTCTAATATTCGTGTCATAAGTTTGTCAGGTATTTTCTTCTTTTCAACTAGTATTTCACTTTTGATTATTTTTAGAATTTATATCTGAATGTAAACACCACTAATTAATTTGAAAAAGCCAGTACGACTTTATGTTTTATAATTTTGATACTAAGTTTGTATTCATGAACATAAGCTCGTTTCTTTGATGGTTCAGAAATACCGAAACTAGGGAGATGGGTTTTGAGTTGCTCTTGAGAAAGCAATAAATGTGAAAATGATGATGGGTTTAAAGAAATAAATGAATTTTGCATCTGAAAAGAACTACCAAATGAAGGTACTTATACATTAAATGCTTGGCCATTGTCCTCATAGTGTATTATAATCAGCTTTAAGTAAAATTTAGTTTTACCAATAGGCTATTGGAAGGTGCACTTTTGCCCAGAAAACGTAAACTCTCTGGGCTAATGAAGCAGAATCAACCAACTTGGACCTGCGAAAACACATGTGCTAAGGGTAACCAGGATGATATAGATCTATTTTATCCTAATTTCTCAGTAAACGCAAGGTGTGTGGACAATTGGAGCAGCACCGACCACCTTGTACAGTAAAATGCATTGGAAGAATGAAAATAGGGATGAAATAAGCGTACTTGGTGTTGATCATATAGATATATACACATGTGTTTGTGTTTCGGAAATAAGCAATAAAGCACGCGGAAGTTCTATTTCCTATAATAGTAGTTACGATTCAGCCCCCCCCCCCTCTTGGCTCAGGCCCACCCACAACTGTAGGGGTTGCGAGGGCATACTTACGCCATTGTTCTTATGCACCAAGTCAAACGTGAACCATAAGCAAAAGTCCTTCTGAAAAAATTTTAGTCTGTAAGTGGCGGAAAGTTAAGGCAATAAACTATTTTAGTTATATATAATAAAAATAACCCCAATATTTTATTCAAAAGCCATCATTGTATTTTTCAGAATCATCCTGGCTGTTTCCAAAAAAATGCATCAGGAATTTCCACCTCCTCTGGAGAACATTTTCATAATCAGAAGGTTTCTGAAAGAGATTTTCAAGCGAAGAAACATTGGCAATATCCAGTCTTTTGCGAGGACAAAATTGCTATCAACTGTGCAAAATTGATTTGCAACAATACCAACGCATCATCTTGCGTCAGTCCACAAAGGGTTCTATCATCTGATCTTTTTCATACCCCCAAAGAAACGCCCTTTCTTTTTTATCCTGTCGAAAACTACGTCTCAAAATTCAATACAGAGGAACTTCGACAAGAACGCGAAGCTAGAATAGCAAAACAGGAAAGAATGATCCATGAATCTCACCTTCTAAAATGCTTTAACTCAGAAGATTGGCAAATTCTTCTTCAGGGTGATCTGTCACAAGAATTTAATCGACTTCAACTTGGTCCAGTTAACCCAGGGATTGTTGTTTGGGAAGACAGTCAGATAAAAGTAGAAACTCAACATGTTGGCGGAGACGAAAACAATATATTTATAGCTCAATACAATCATGAAACAAATCAGGAGCAGGCGTCTCTTTGCAGTCTTTCTGTACCTAGTCTTACTATTACAGACGAGAAACGAAGACCTCCAATGCCAACTTCTGCTGAAGGGGTTTTCTCTGGATAAAATGATGAATAGAACTTTTTAGTATTATCATAAACTAAACTATCTATGTGCTTAAACATGGTATAAAAGAATAAATAATGTTGTGAATTTTATTTAAAATCATTAATAGAAATAACACATTATCTTTTTTTGGGATCAATGATACATGTAAATGTAAAACTTGTTTTATTTAATTTTCTTATATACAAAGTAATACGTTGATGTAATATGCTTAACTGAACAAGCACGTGTTAGAGAGAAATAGCTTGTATATTCAAAAGTTATATAAAAACTAAAGTTGTCTTTTCGTTTGTTTGTTTGTAATTAAGCATAAAGCTACACAATAGGCTATCCGTGCTCTTCCCACCACGGGTATCGAAACCCGGTTTTTATAGGTCGTTATCTTAGTAAAAACATACTTGTCTACTTTGAAGTCTGCTGTCATGTTGAACCTGCAGTCTACTTTACATTAAAGTTTTAATACAAAAAACAATACAAACTTAGTTCTGGAAAAAAATAATTGCTGCTCTTCCAAAATCGATAGACATTTATTGGCCTATTCAGAATATGCACCACGCTAGTTGTTTTTTTCAAACTTATTTCATATTAGGCAGTACTAATAAGAAAAATAAAACAAGTAAAAAAAAAAGTCTGAACACCTGTAAAGAAGAAGACTACGAGGAGGGTTTATTGTTATACTGTGTTTCCTGCAATGTGAACTTGGAGAAAATAATTCAATAGATCTATAGTTTTTGTTGATTTATTGCTATACTGTGTTTCCTGCAATGTGAACTTGGAGAAAATAATTCAATAGATCTATAGTTTTTGTTGATTTATTGCTATACTGTGTTTCCTGCAATGTAAACTTGGAGAAAATAATTCAATAGATCTATAGTTTTGTTGTAAAAGATGTTTTCCTTTGGAATTTTTCGAAAATTTATGTATGACACGGATCTGGCTGGCGTACCAAATTCTATACTTCTAAACGCTATTTTACAGTTATCAATAACAGGAGTCATTATTCCACACTACTCGATCTACATTCAAGGACAACTCACTAATCTCAACCTACGAATATAAGCACTGCAACTACTTCATTTAGTGTAATAGGCTGACAAAAGGATGAAATAATTAATATTAAACTTTAGCTATCAAAAATATTTTAAGTAGAAATTTGACCTCCCCCCCTCTCCAAGTATTAATACACTATTGTATCAAAAGTATTGTTAAGGAAACTCTTTTACATTGTGATGTTACATATGAATTGATGATGCATAACTGCATACGAGCTACGAAGATCAGTAACTACCACAGACACGTATAACTGGAGTCAAGATTTCATAATCATACAAGCTCATGAACTTTCATTCAGAAATGGCTATTAGATTACAGCACGTTTAATACCTTGTACTCATACTGAAATTCGCTGAATAAATGGAAGACCATTAGATACTGTATGTGAAATATCAGCCCAGCCACCCAAAATTAAAAATTCTTCAATCTATGCAAACTTTGATGGGTGATGTTAAATGAAACTGCATATCTGACCAGCATAGCCAATGTAACATTGAGTTGTATGGTGGTGAATTTCGCGGACAGGCCATAACCCATAAATTCATCACCACGGCTGCGAATGTGGGTTATTGGATCTCTTGGTGCTTTGAACAACAGAGTATAACAGTGTTTCTCAGCCAGATGACCACCGCGTCCGATCTTTGGTCGTCGCGACCCCCCAATATTTTTACAAGAATGAAAACAGCTCGTCATAATTCATAATAAAGGTATTATGTGCACCTCTCAAACACCTCGAGAAGACAGTTCGTGACCACCCTGAAAACCTACTCGTGTCCCACCGTTTGAGATACACTGGAGTAGAGAATGGAAAAAACCATTGTCTGTTTCAAATGAACGGTTCTGGGTTAAACAGAAACTTAGAGAATGTTATGGATATTAATATGACTGTGTCATTAATGGATTAATGTAGGAAAGGACTATACGAGAGTTCAGCATGATAATGTGGCAGGTCATTTCGTAGTCTGTATCCATCACTGATTTGAGATTAATGTCTTTCATCTTGGCCAACTCAGAATTAACAGAAAATGTACGTTTATTGGAAAGCTGTCTGATCGACAAACATCTAATCTCATTATACTTAGAGCTGCATTGAATAAAATAGTAGGGACTTATTCCATCAAATATACACACGGCTTATTGTGTCAGTAACAAGCTATGCTACGAGTAACGAGAAAGAAGACTTCTCAAAGTGTGTTTCCATAACTTTTGTTGGAGCAGTATATATGCGAGTGAATATATGTAGCTCGTAATGCATGTCTATGTAACTATGGTTTCCTATCTATAAAATAAAAAACAAATAGTCTCGAAACCATTACCCTTCCAAAAAGTATTTTTCGTTTTTAAAGAGAATAGTTCTAGTTCAAATTCCAAGCGCTTCAATAAATAAACGTGACGTTCAGTGCTATTTCAGCTACTGCTTTTTATTGGTATCTCAATAATTATAGTTAGAGCATCCTTAGAGTTGATTGATTTAAGTGTATTGGTAGTATAGCAGCGCCATCTCTCCACTATGTTTAAAACTTAACACATGTTTTGTATGCAATAGACATTGAGACGAATATATTTCACCGGTAATAGATTAGTACCACTTGATAAACTGACAGTTGAACCTAGAATTTCTAACATCGATATTTTTACGTGTTAAACTTATTGTTTGCCCTTTTATTAAGAAACACGTTAACCATTTCGATTCGATATTATACCTAATACACTTTAGTATTTGTTGTAACATTATAATATACATTTTTGAAGCCTAACACTACAATATAATATCTAGTTGTAAAAATATACACAACTTTATACCGGGATAAGCTCTTTAATTAGTAAGTCAATATACAACTTACCGTGTGAGTATCGTTAATAGGACATTGGAACCTGCTGTAAATGAAATGTTGGAATAAGTATTTGGTGTATTTAATTACTTTAATATATTTCACTTTATTAAATATATTATAATAATGCACAGGTTTTGTCTGTCCTGAAAATTCAAGAGCACAATTAATTTTAAAGGATGTAAACAAAATGCGTATGTAAAGATACTTTATAATACATTTTCTACAATAATATATTAAAATCTTATCAAAGTTTTTAAAAAGGTCTAATGTTAGATCGTAGAATAACATTATACGTTTAATTACTGATAGTATTAAGTTTGTTTGTTTTTGTTTTTAAGTTAAGCACAAAGCTACACAATGGGCTATCTGTGCTCTGCCCACCACGGGTATCGAAACCCGGATTCTAGCGTTGTTAGTCCGCAGACATACCGCTGTGCTACTGGGGGGCTAGTATTAAGTACAGTAAAGTTTAGCCTTAAATAAACTAAAGCAAAAAACGTACACAAGTTACACTATTAATTTATTATCTATCAATAAAGACGTAC